TCCGTACCAAAAAGAAAAAACAAAAGCAAAAACAAAAACAAGAAGAAAAATTGTACTATATGGTGGCATAGTAATGCAGGATTGAATCAAAACCATACAAATGTGTAATTAAGTAAAAAGGCGTGTTGTCTATGTAAAGCAATGCTAATGATATTTTGTAAGATTAAAATAAATATACATTTAGAATACCTGTTAACAGTACTGTAAAAGGAAGAAAGCAGTAAATGAAACCTAAATGTTAAAAAGTTCTTACATTTTCTGTTTGTAAAAGTAATAAAGTAAATATTAATAGGATACTAATACATATTAAATATTTCAAAGATATGCATTTTAATCTCTAGTATACCACTAAAAGAATAATAAAAGCATGTCAAAATAATAAGCTAATTACATGGGAGAAATTGAGCAACAGAAAATTAATCCACAAGATTGTAAGAAAGGAAAAGAAGATAGAAGACTAGGGAAATAGAGATTAAAGAATAATATTGTAGATGTACTTCCTTGTCTTAGTCTTTTCAAGTTGCTATAACAAAATACTATAATGTATGTATACTATAAACTAAAGAAATTTATTTCTCATAGTTCAGGAGGCTGAGAAATCAAAGATCATTGTGCCAGAAAATTTGGAATCTGGTGAGGGCTTACTTTCTAGGTGACCATGTTAATGCCATACTTTCAATGCAGCTCTCTGGGGCTACTTTTTTAGTGGCATCAATCTCACTTGTGGGAGGCCAGGGATTTAGCTCAGTGGTTCCGCTGCCTGCCTTGCAAGGCCAAGGACCCGAGTTCGATCCCCAGTACCAAAAAAAAAAAAAAAAAAAAAAAAAAAAAAAAAAAAAAAAAAAAACCCATTACCCTCATGATTTAATTACCTCCCAAAGGCCCCATCACATATCAACAGATACCGTAATATACAAATTTTGAAGGGACACAGTCAGATCACAGTGTTCCACCTCTGGCCTCTCAACAATTATATCATTCTCACATGCAAAATACATTCATTCCATTTCTATGTCTCCCCCATTCTGAAGTCATCCCAGGACCAACTCAAAAATCTACAGTCCAAAATCTCATCTAAATCAGATATGAGTGAGACTCAAGGTATAATTCATGGTGAGGCAAACAGCACTCAAGCTGTGAAATCAAACATGTTATGTGCTACCAAAATACAAGGATGGACCAAGCATGGGTTAGACATTCTTATTCCAATAGAGAGAAATAGGAAAGAAAAAAAAGAGAGATAGATCCCAAACATGTCTAAAGTCTAATAGCACAAATAATATTAAACTTTAAACCTTGAGAATGAGTAACCCTTTTTGATTTGATGCTCTGCCATTCACTCTGACTTAGGGAAGATCCAGCCTTCTGGACACAGGAGTGCGATAGACCTCTTTCCATGACTTTGGGAGGCAACTATCTCCATGCCTCAGCTGTGACCTGGCTCCCCATTGCAGAAAACCTTTCATTAGAGCCACTACTGGTTTGCTGCCAAGGGAGAGGATCCAGTTCTGCGGCTCTGCCTGGTATTGTCCTAACAGAATCTCTCTCTTGTGGCCCTGTGCTTGCTTGGGCTTCTGCACTCTGGGCCTGTGAGGTGGGGGCAGCCCTGATGATTCTGAATTACCTTATTCATGACCTTAAACACTAGCTGCTGGCTTCTTTTTAATTTTGCTATATTTTGGCCGCACCCTTGGTGTTTTCTCCTGAACAGGTCTTCTCATCCCTTTCAATGTGGCTATGCCAGGAGTTTCTCAGATCTCTAAGTTCTTTCCATCTTTTGGTCATCTCTTCCTTCTTAGATTTTGCTACAGTCAACAGGAATCTGACCTGTCTTTTAGCATTTTGTTTAGATATTTCCTCAGCTAAATATCCAATTTCATGGTTTATAAGTTCTACTGTCTCAAAACATGATTAAGACAAGTTCTTTGGCATTTTATAACAAAATATGGCTTTCATTCAGCTTCTAATAACATGCTCCAGTAACAGGAGACCTCAGCAGAATGGCCTTTCTTAAGAATGGCCTTCTTCCCAGTCCTGCTCTTTTCTTTCTGAGCCCTCACCACAATCACCTTTAAAGGTCCATTCATGACCCTGTAGGGTTCTTCTAGAACACACTTAAAAATTCTTCAGGCCTCTACCCACTACCCAGTTACAAAGCCACTTCTTCATTTTTAGGTATTTCTTATAGCAGTACCACACATCTTGGTACTAATGTTCTTTTTTGGTCTGGATAGAGTGTCATAAGATAGCACAAACTAAGTGGCTTATGAGCAACAGAAGTTGATTTCTCACAGTTCTAGAGGTTGAGAAGTCAAGATCAGGGTGCCAAAAATTTGGAGTCTATTATAAAGTCCTGCTTTCTAGATGGTCATCAGTAAAATTTCACAAGATGGGAGGGATAAGGGTACTTTCTAGAACCTCTGTTTTAAAGGCACAAACAGCAGTTGGAGAGGGCCATGCTCATGGTCTAATCACATCCTGAAGTTCCCATCACTAAATATCATCCCATTGGAAATTAAGTTTTATTTTTTTATTTTTCCTTCTATTTTCACTTAAAAAATAAATTTTATTTTATCCTATTCTCCCCTCAAGTCCCCTCCCTTGCTATGTACAGAAGCTTTGTTTCCATTTTTTCCATTTTCACTTTTTCTTGTCCCTACCTTCCTTTCTTCCTCCCTCCTTGCTCCCCTTTCCATTTGAAGTTTTAATAATTTATAATTGGATCATATTCTTATAAACTTAATCTTCCTCCCTCCTTGTTCCCCTTTCCATTTGAAGTTTTAATAATTTATAATTGGATCATATTCTTATAAACTTACTATAAATTGAAAATTGTGTAAGTCCAAAATGTATGTAATACATCTAACTTACAAACATCATAGGTTAGCTACACAATATAGAACACTGGTGTACAGCTTCTGTTGAATATGTATCATAAAGCTGAAAAATCTTTAGTCAACCATTGTAAATCAGGGATTGTGCATGAATTTATGAAGGATTCAAGCATTTAGACCATAATAACCCTAATATCTGTAACTTCATTAAATACACAATGAATTAAATTCTCCAATTCAGAGACAAATAGCTTAGACTGGATTAATAAAGCTTTATAATGCCTATATAGGACACATTATAAAAATAAAAGAGGAAGGTTTAAAGTTAAAAGACTAAAGATGATACACTATGATAATACTAAGGAAACAGTATAACTATAATGATAGCAGCAAAAAGTAGTAATTGTTGAAAGAATCCATTGGAAAATATAACAATCTGAAATTGTGGGCACCTGATAAAATAGGATCAAATTAGATGATCAAAATGGAAAGAACTAAAAGTATAAGTAGATAAATCCACAATTATTGATTGAGATTAGCACAGCTCTTTTAGTAACTGATAAAACAGGAAAAATTGTCACTAGTGAGAAGATTTGAACAACACAAGTAATAAATCTGTCTAGTTGGCTTATGCAGTGTTTTTCACTCAACAAAATGCAGAACCTACATTATTTTCCAGTATATTTGAAATAATTAGAAAAATATCTACTGGGAATTAAGCTGTAACAAATTCCTGTGAAACGAAATTATATTCTATGTGTTCTCTGTCCACTAAGCTGTGTTCTCTGTAACTGAATTGAAAATGAGTAACAAAAAGATAGAAAATCTCCAAATGTTTGAAATTATTAACTACATGCACATATATATTTACATTCAATACATACATGCACATAGATATCTGCAAATGTATATATGTGTGGTAGCTACAATCCTTTTTCATTTTTATTAGTACTGCATGGTATTTCTTTACATCATGTTTCTTATGGACATAGTCTGTGAATTTCCTGTCATTTTCTTCTCTCAAAGCATGAAACTGCAGAGGAACTAAATTTATGGAGATCCTTTTTTTTTTTTTTTTTTTAAGAGTGGTTAAGGAAGGCATTTGTAGTTTGGGTCCTATAGGCATCTTCCCCTGGCTACTTGTGATGTTTTTCTTAGTATCTCAGACCCTCTGCTCTCAACTACATTATAAAGGAACAGATGTACACTGCATTTGAGCTTTGCCTGCTTTCGGGGAAGGAAGTTTATGAGAGGGTAGGATCCAGTGTTTTATTTTACTGGATCTCCCAAAGGGAAGTTAAGGGGAAAATAGGAATTGGAGAGAACCAATATTTACTTTATTTCATTCAATCCTCAGAGGAATGGAGAGGTGTTTTAGATGATTTCCCCCTTTCTGGAGAAAGCAACTGAGGTCCAGGGGGACAGTGAAAATGGAGTCCCAGCCTCTGCTTGCTTCCCTTAGCAACCCCAGGCCTTGACTACAGGGAGTTCTCATTAGTGGGAGTAGCAGGAATGTGTTTTTGAAAGGCAGGAGAATGCGTTGAACAATACACGACATTTTATGAGACATGCATGACAGTACCCTGAAAAGCCTTCAGAAACCGTTTGTCTACATTAGTCAAGTCATTACATGTATTTTTGGAAACAGGAAAGTATCTGAAATTGTCAGCCATTATTTGACACCAATCATCTTTTAACCTTTAAAGACCAGAGCATTAGAAAACGAGTTATTTTCATTTAAAAAATTGTATTCAGTTTCCCCTTCTGTGTAGCAATATGGTATGCGTATAATTTTAAATTTCAAATTACATTTGTCCGTTTGTGGCACGACGTTGAAAACATGGAATGGAAGTCTCAGCTGTATTATTCTCCTTTAAAAACATCACCAACACTTTAACCTTGTTTTTCTTAAATTTAACTCCTAGCAGGAAAGCTTTTTATTATTTCAGACGGAATGATGTTAACTACTGCAAGGAAGAAAAAAAACCCTTATATTTTGATGGATTCTGCTTTCTATTACCCAAGGCTGTTTAACTAGAAGTGGGGGCCAGTGGGTCTGTGGAGAGCAGTCGCGGCTGCGCGGTCCCAGCACTTTGAGGCACGCAGGAGGGACACGCGGATGAGCTGGCTGCCGCCGCAGGGAGGAGACTGACTGGGAGGAGAACAGCAGGCCAGCCGGAGCTGCAATCCCATCCCAAAGCTGACCAGCTCCTGTCCTGACCTCTTCACGGAAAGCAGACTCTTTCCTGAATCCAGTCAGGGAAGGTAAAGATTGCTGTTGAGCTTGCTCTCCCCGAGGGCACAGGGACCTAGGGGGACTGAGTTTGTCTCTGTGGTATTCGGTGACCTCAGCGTGCCAAAAGTGTTCTAAACAAACGAGATGGGCTTGAACGTTCCCTATCAAGAGTGAGGACGGTTCTGTCTAGCGGGTTGATGTATTGAACTAGTTGGAGAAAGATTTCAACAGGTAGCACAATGCACTCACGTGGGGCGGGGTTGTGGTGCAGTGCCGTCCCCACCTAGGTACCCGGCTTCTCTGTAAATCTGTTCATGGAGGAGTTTAACTTGTCTTTTAAATTCTGCTTTCCAAACTCAGGAGTCCGCGGCTACCTTGGGCTGAGGGTGGCAGGAACGCCCCTGCCCTCGGAAAGCCAGAAAGGGGCTCAGAGCACAGCCGCCTGAGTCTGCACACAGGTTGGTGCAAACGCGGGCTTCCCTATTGCTGAGGCCCTCGGGGCAACCTCGCGGGACTTGCACTCCGGTCCCGGCCCCTTGCCCTGGCCAAGATGGACAACGACTCGTTTGCGGAGTCCGGCGGGTCCAACGCGTCCTGCGGAGCTCTGGTCCTGGGCTGCACCAACGCGTCGAGCCCGGAGCCTCTGCCGCTGCCGCAGTCGCTGGCCGTGGCCGTGCCGGTCGTCTACGCGGTGATTTGCGTTGTGGGGCTGGCGGGCAATTCGGCAGTGCTGTACGTGCTGCTGCGGGCGCCGCGCATGAAGTCCGTCACCAACCTGTTCATCCTCAACCTGGCCATAGCCGACGAGCTCTTCACGCTCGTGCTGCCCATCAACATTGCCGACTTCCTGCTGAGGCGGTGGCCCTTCGGGGAGCTCATGTGCAAGCTCATCGTTGCCATCGACCAGTACAACACCT